AATATGCAATATTTTATAAATATGTAATAATTTCAGCGAATTTATACATGGCACTAAAATATCAATTAAGTACGCTTACTGTTATCACCGTGTATATTCAGTAACGCCCGAATGTAAAAATAACGCACGATTCGTTCAAAATGTAACGCAGAGTTGTGCAATAAATTACGGATACATGACAGGTTTTCCAACGCGTTAAGTAAACTTGCAAATATATTTTTATTTAGGCAAACTGAAAAAAAAGAATAGCCGCATATGGCTCTATATACATTATTCTTCATCTCTCATCAATATTATTTCCACGAAATTGCTTCATTTGTGAAAATGATGGCTTGACCACCGTATTAAGCATGATTTTGGCTTTTGTCGATTCTTTTAAGTGCAACAATGCATATTATACCGTATAATTTCGATTCTTTATAGGCAAGTTTCATTTACTAAACTTCTGGTGACATAGAAAGTTGAAAGTAAGCTTATAAATGTGATTCGAGCCGTTTTATTGAGGTACGCAGATGTTCATAAATATTGCTTCGCGGTTACACTGGAAAATGTGTTTTTCTTTTCAATAAGGTATTTAATTGTTTACACAAGTTAAATGCCTTTCATCGGCTTATTTAATCAAGTGTGATCCAGTCAATGTATTTTCTTTTTCAAAAATTATTAAGAAGTTTATGATAATTAGATCTTGACAATTTTCAACATTATCTATTAATATATTAAATTTTATATTTTATATCAGTAACCGTAATGAACTCAGTCATATGCATGTATATTATACAAGAATTTTTATTCATTTATAATTGTTTAGCAATACCTAGATTTTTGATGTTTAATAAAATGTAAACGTTTAATTTAAGATTTCTTTTAACATGTCACGTTCTAATATATGTACTATTATCTCGATTGAAAATCTGATTGTATTTAAAGCTGGAGGCCTTAGAATACGAGCTTTGAATATATTAACATACCTGGTCTCGAATAATAACATCGTCATTGATTTTGAAAAAAAATAATTAAAAAGTGTATTTCTTTTGCCTTGAGTTAATTTAACCTGTCATACTGAAACAATTACTGTTATAATTAATATAAAATGGTTTGTGAAGTTGCCCCTTTAGAAGTAACAGTTTAAGAAGGCGGCTATCCGTGTATTTTATTTACATTTTTATAATTTAATGTTATATATTTATATGACATTGTGATGAATCGTTATTGTGGGAAATCATTACTAATTAAACTCATCATTCCTTAGTTTTAATATTAGCAGCAAACATAATTGCTCATGAATAGACATGTTTAAGAACTCTCATTATAGAATGAGGCATATATCTATTACTTTTTTTTCCTTTCTTTGTTATTGGTGTTGTTGGTTTGGGCGCACAAAAACAGATCAGACTATATAGCGCCGACAGGAAAGATCATTATGGCTATCTTCGAGTATAACAAACTTAAAGCAAAACCAGTGATCAAAACCATCTATTCATCATAGTTAAATTCCTTATTTGAACCCATTTTGTTGCCTCTGGATCAAATTGTGGCTACATTCTTAAACCTTATACCATAAAGGCAACCCTGCGCCACAAAATGGGATATATGTATGTAAATACAAAGGTTTTAAAAGTATAATTGTTTTATAAAAATGAATAATTGAAATTAATAAATAAGCAAAAAGCAATGCCTTCAAGTAAAGTTGACTTTAAATATCTCACTATGATGGACTAATATTCTTTCAGTTTTATTGTTATGATGTATTTTACTTGCTTATCTTTAAAAAGTGATATGTTTTATTGTGTAAGGAACAGTTTGTTAAATTATTAAAATACAGAAATATGTAAATAATTAATTAGACAGGCCGCTGACATTGCTATTGCATTTGACAAATCTATTGTAATTTACTTTGCATATAAAACTTAATAATTTTTATAATAAATTTAATTTAAAATGTTTGAAGCATACTTCGCTAAATATTTATCTTACTTAATAAAATAGAAATGAACAGGCCGCTGGCGTTTGATTTTTTAATTAATTGAAAGCATTTTTGCCATATTTTGTATAATTGATATGGACTAACTTAATTATTTATCATATCCGCAGGTTAATAGTCCAACCTACGCTCAAATAGTTAGCACAATACATTTTGGTCAATAGTTCATATTAATCTATCTGTAAGATCAAAAAATTGATAAATTATTTTATGTATAAAGATATAACGATTCATGTTTTTTTTAATGTATTGCTAATATCTTCATTAAAAAATTCAAATATTGTGTGAAATTATACTAATATCATTTAAGATGAGCGGTGGTCTAGTGCTTAACGTGTCTGCCTCCAAACCCAGAGATCATGAGTTCGAGCCCTACACGGTACACAACCATGTAACTTCATATGACACCAGAACTTGTTGGTCCCAGGAGGCGGACTCGAAAGTGATTTATATAGACTCCTTTAAAACTGATTATTTATAGAACACTGTATATCATTGCTGATCACGTGTGAAAGCTGAGCAATCAACTAAGTAGAAATGCATTGGGAGGTTACCTTAGATATTAAGATTATATGAGACTAATGGCTAAATCAGTTGATTAAATGTAGTGACACATGTTTGATAAAGCTTCAAAATTATCTGCAGTGAACTTAACAATATATTTAGATAAATAACATTTACCTTCGAATAAATCTTATTTTGGAAAAGTGATATGTTATTGCCGAAATACAACGACTGACATATACAATTATATTAGCATATCATGCTTATTACAATATACATGGCCTTTGTTACGTTATAAATCAATTATATCAATCCACAGTTACAATATATTAAACCCTTTTGTCAGTGTTTGTATGCAAGGTAACTATATATGTTGGTTGTCTCTAAGTATGAGTCCAAGTCTCATATGTATAGTACCTTAGTAGACAAATTTGGAACCAAATATCGTCATATGAATAAAAAATTTCGATATATAAAATTATTTTTTTTACAATATATGAAACCAATGTTTCAATGTCTGGAGCCAAAGTAGTAATAAATAAGTTGTTATCACATTAAATGATACCAGTTCTCAATATATGGTACTAAAATAGCCATGTACGGAACTTGGAATGATTCTAGCTGTTTTATACAATATTCAAATTGTATATACACGTGTAATTGTTTGTTTATATAACTCATCAAACTGTTTAAATTAAAAGTCACAAACGGTATGAGATATTTGAGCAGATATTGTCTGGTTATTGAAGCTAAAAAATAATTGAATATTTATGTAAGAAGAGTTCAAAACATAGTTAATAACTTAAAAAAACACGTTATATAAATGAAATTCTTGTTTTTCTTTTGTATTTTGGTTGTTTTTTTTTTAATTACTTTAGGGAGTTATATAAAGAAATTATTTTAACAAATTATAACACTTTTGACTATGCTTTTATATAAACTATTTTCTTTTGTGGTTGGTGTTTACATCGCACAAGCAATGTAAAGATTATCTGGCGATGTTACAGCTTTACTGCTGCAGGAAGACCTCAGTTGTCCTTCCGTGCATTATTTCTGGCATGAGCCGGTACCTGAGTAAAACCACCGACATTCTGTGAACTTCCTAGCATGAAAGAATCAAATGTCTCTGACGGTTTTTTAACCCATACCCATAGCAGTTAGAGGCAAGTGGTTTGAAGTCCAGTTCCATTAACAATTTAGCCTCAAATGCCACTATCAAAATATATATGTCACAAAAGTTCAATTAAGTAATTCACCTACCCTAATATTAAATACCATTTTTGATTTTATTTGTTTATTACATCATATTATTGATTATCTAAACCGGAGTCGATATATATTTCTTCAATTTGTAGTTAAACACAGGGACAGCTTTTCTTGTTTATTTCAGATAGTGGTTGTTATTGCAATTCATCCCATCACTAGTTGTGAAACACTCTCGAATATGTTCCTAAAACCAACCATTATTGAGCAATGGCGTAAAGGTTGTTGCCAAAGGAAACAATGGCTTGCTCTTGACGGTGTTTGAACTCAAAACCAAATGGTCCAAGGAAATTTAATTTTCTTATTTAAAAAAAGAAACAAAACCTTCAATAGAATAATAATTGGCAGTGGAATAGAATTTATAAAACTAATTGCAGGAACGAACGTGATATTGAGCTTAAGGAACTGTCCACTTTGGTCTGTAATATAGACATTATTGCAACGTTTACTTATTAAATGACACATTCAGTATCCGATTTTGAACCTTTGTAAAATTTGATATGTCGCCAGAATAAATGTAAAAAAAAATAATTATTTCAATTAAAAAGCAATTATTTGATATAAAATATTTGGTTTAAGGCATTTTATTCTGCTGATATGGTTAAAAGAATGTATAAATAATGTTTTCTGGAGACTCTGTGGCAGTTATTCATTAGTTTATACACACACGTATGGACAAAATGGGTGTTTTTAACATTATTGTTATGTGCATTGTATGTAAGTATATTCATTGTTCATGATAATTACTTTACGAATACTTATTTTTTTTCCTAATAATTAAGAAAGTAATTAATTTTAGAATAATATTATTTTAATTTCAGAAGCGGCTAACAGAGCTCTCAAATACTTGATTAATAATTCGACAGGAATTTACGTTTTAAATGTGTATTATATATATTAGATAAAGATAAATTTAAATTATAGTGACATGTGTTACAACATACAATATGAACATATTTTGAAAAATAAGTCAACTACCGGCCCAATTGGCTTTTAAGTCAGCTTAAATAATGGACTAAATTAGGCACATGTGATGAAATGCTACAACATACTGCAATTGTTAGCTAGCTGCACTTGTTAAGTTTATGATGACAAATATATTTATAATAAATAATATATAAGTATGTACATAATTAATCACAAAAATGTGTAGTCTGAAATTTATGAATATAACTTACTTTGTCTGGTATAAAATGCATTAACAAATATTTACGAATTTTGTCATTTAATTACAGACATATAATTCTTATATATGCTATCTGCAGGGCAAATAAACAGCGTCGGGGCACAAGAGATACGACTCCCAAAAGCTGGCAATTTGAAGGCAGTAGAAAATTGGATACTGTATATAAAACTCGGCAATGACGAGGTATGCGCAGGTGTACAACTCTCCGACAATTGGGTTCTTACCCTTGCTGACTGCATTGATGAGAAATTGTAAGACATTTTATCATATTTGTTTAAACATATTTATTCGATATATTTACATTATGTATGATTAATAATATTAAACAATATACAACCTAGCACCGGCTTAAACAGTATTTAATCGTCCGCACTGGATTTGTTGGAATCAATGATCATTGAAGGATCAGAAAACAACTCTGAAGTAAAGGTAGATGGTGACTTATACGTCTATCACATGGCACTTGTTACCTGCTCTACAACGATTGATCACGAATATGGGATGGAATGATTATATGACCTGCCAATATAAGCATAAAACAAATCTTAATTGCCAAGTTATATGTGAAAAAAGCTTTAACATCTAATAAAATGAATGATTATATACTTTAACAACAAGTCATGTGTTTTCAAAATTTTAGCAAGCTTACAAAATACAGCATTGTTTACAAAGATGGTTCAAGGAAGGTTATTGCCGAGGACCGGGTAAGTGTGATGTTTTAATGTAAGAGACATTTGTGTAAATTTTCTCATTCGTGTGATGTTTTATTAAAAAACGTTACCAGTATGACAATTGGTGATCTTTCTAAATTCATTTGCGCTGTAACAAATATGTGCTACATTTTAAAGAGACTCCACAGAGGTTCAAAAGCATACACATATATAATTCAAATTTCTGAAATAGAATAACTTTGATGCTTAAAACAAAAAGATATGCAAAAGATTATTAAAAAATACATAGAAATATCTTTGTGAATAAAATGAATTGGTTTGTGTAAAAACATCTAATAAAATAAAACAAAAATCAGTTGTCTTACATCTCCTTAATGCACTAAATAGAACGTTCACCGTACAAATCAATTATTACTCGAAACCATTCGTAGAATAAATTTATCACGCACACTTTTCATTAGTATCTTTAATTGAAAATATATTTTAGGAGATAAGGGCACATTTTACATTAAGGACTAACTGCATTATATGATGCACGATAGAAACATAATGCATATACTAGATTATCTGCTACAGGTATAAGATTTGATAATGAAAAGTCTTGCCTTACCCTGTTCTTTTTAGCTCACCTGTCACAAAGTGACATGGTGAGCTTTTGTGATCACTTTTTGTCCGGCGTCCATCCGGCGTCCGCCTGTCGTCCGTCTGTCGTCCGTCCGTCCCGAAACTTTTCTTTAAGCGACATCTCCTCTTAAACAGCTGAGCCAATTTCATCCAACTTCACAGGAATGTTTTGTTTTTTTTGGTAGTTAACTTTAAAAATTGTTAAAAGACTTTAATTTTAAGCATAACTCTGGTTGCCATGGCAACCGAAAGTATCTTATTTAAAAAAAAACTAGAGCTTAAATATCTGGCATGAAACATCATCTAGTATGTGTCTACCAAGTTCATTCAAATAAATGCCCCGGGGTCAAAATTGGCCCCCGGGGGTTCATTGATTTTCCTTATTTGTATATAGAAAAAACTTTTAAAAAATCGTCTTTTTAAAAGCCCAAATAGCTAGAGCTTAGATAATTAGCATGAAACATCTTCTAGCGAGTGTCTATCAAGTTTGTTAAAATTAACGCCATTTGATCAAAATTAGCCCCGCCCCAGGGGGTCATTGTTTTCCCTTTATTTATATAGTGCCAACTTAATACAAATCCTCGTTTAAAAGAACCCAAACAGCTAACGCTAAGATATTTAGCATGAACAAAATTGGCCTCCGCCCAGAGGGGGTCGTTCGATTTCCCTATATGTGTTAAGTAAAAGCTTAGAATCTTCTTACAGCTAGAGCTTAGATATTAATCATTAAACATCTTCAAATGTGCGCTAACAAGATTCTTCAAGTAAAAGCCCCTGGGTTAAAATTGGCCCGCCCCGGGGGCCTTTACACAGGTGAGCGATTTCAGGGCCATCTTGGCCCTATTGCTTTTTCCTCATTGTTTTCTTTTTGTGTTGTAAATATTGACATATGCTATAAAAATGTTATTTCACTGTTGGACATTAATTCATCTATTAAAGGACTCCGTTGGAAAGTTATTTATACTTCTTAAGATGAAAAAGGAAAAAGAACCAAGAAAAACAAAGTTCACACAACTTGCTGACTCTAAGTTACCCTCTTCAGAGTACAAGTTTCATCTGTACAATCGAGACGATTCTGGTAAATTATAAAAAAAATAGTGATTACGAAAGGATAAAATATATGTATAAAGTCTGTTCAATTAAATTGTTAAAAAACAACAATTTTTATTCAACAACATTTTGATATCTTAGTTCGTAAATGTATTTAGATAACGCTTTCATTATTTGTCTAGAACTAAAGTAATTAAATAAATGCTGGCTTTGTCATTCAAAGTATACAGTTGTTATCAACATTGAAAGATAGTGAAAGAAAAAGATATTAAAATATTAATATGCGATTCAGAAAATAAACAACAAACTCCTTGATAAAAGGGTTTAACTCCTCAAAATGTTGAGATTGATAAACTTTTGGAATAGATATTAAGTTATCAACAAAGAAGTCTTGAGTAAGTATTAGATAAATGCTTTGTTTTACCATTCTATTTCCGATCACTTTGGTTAAAATATCCTTTTGGTTTGAAATTACAGATAAAATTATTGCAAATGAAGTCGATTTTGTCAGAGGCGCTCAATGTGAGAAGGAAGAAATTGATGGTAATTTTCGCGAGACACATAAATGTGTTCAAGGCAACATGAATGAAAAGGCTAGATGTCTAGTACGTTGAAACTGAAATTGTGTTATTTTACAGTATTCACTACTGAAGCTTATCAGGGCCTCTACTTATCATAAAGTTTATCGGCATGTCAATTTGTTCCATCTTGTTTTAATAAAAAAATCCCATGAATATGTAATGACTAATACGTAACACGTCTTTGCGAAAAGAAACTTTAATTGAATTATGTGAACTATTTGTCAATGCGAGTAACATCTTTGCGTCTTACTAAATATGTCAGCACAGTTTTGAAATCATGAAGCGCATGTTACTATGTTTTTGTCAACGGAACAAAATTATGTAGAATATCGATAAAAGTTCAGTTGCAATGCCTTAAAGTTTCTAACCTTCAGTAAATTTTATTCAGACTTGCAAAATCATCTTATCAACGCGAATAAGAATTATTCGACTAAGCGCAAAACATCTCATCAAATGTAGGCCCTGATAAGCTTCCTTAATTCACAATACATTTCCAAAAGATAATTGCTTGGGTATTTTTGATTTTATTCTAATCGTTTTATAACAATAATCGTATAAAAACGTAGTGTTTAATTTAGGAAGATTCTATTAGAAATTTTAATTGTCAAAAGAAAACTTATTAATATTGGTTGTTGCGAAATCTTAAAATGCATTCTTTTGTCCTGAGAAAAAATTGGATATATATTTTCAGACTTACATTTTTAGAGATGTTTTTGTGTTTGGGAGATGATCACATTTTTTCACAAGATTTTGCTAATTAGTTGTGAAGAGGACGTAAAGGTCTGAAAGCGACTTGTACGTTTTGAACACGGCACTTTCGTTTCTTACTTTTTGTAATTTGCATAAAAATTCTGGCTGTGATTATCAATTTACCATATTATACGAAATGGTTCTTATAGAACTAATTTACAACATTTATTCATTATTCACAATTCTAAAACGAAGATGTACTTCAGTTCTGCATGATGCGAACATTCCTGCCTTGGTGCAACCGCCTGTGACCTGGCTTCGTTGGAAGGATATTGCACCCAGTTGATAAGAAATCAATTGTAAAGATATTTTTTTTGAAAATTTTAGCCAGGAAGTCCAGTGTTTGGATCCAAGAAAAAAGAAATAATTCTGCAAGGACTTGCAGTCACATCATCTGCTTCATCTGATCCTTGCTTATCACAGCTTCAATCTATTGCAGTCACAAAACCGCAAGTTAACTGGATCAACTCGGTCATTATTGGTATTTGTCTAGTAAAATATTATTTTAATGCCATTCTTCTGTTCTTTATTTTGTAAAATTTCTCAAAACCAGTTTTCAAATACTGCTGAAACCATCTGGCTACTTAGAAAAAAAGAAGAAGAAACAACAACAACAATCCCTACTGTATTCATCCACTGTAAGTAAACGTGTTCCAAATTTTCTCTTCTGAAAAATTACACTGTTTCTACGTTTTCAACATTCAATTTGTTATATACATTTTGAACATCTTGTACATGTTATGCATATACTCTTCAGACGTTGTATTTGAATATTATCAGATTGCGGTCCAATTAAAACGTTTCGGAATGGCAAGGTGAAGCTGAACAAAAAATCTTCGACAACAATAGGATCCACAGCGACTATAAGATGTAATCCCGGGTATGAGGCAAATCAAAAGAAAATCGTTTGCCTTGAAAACGGGAAATGGGAAAAACCCAGTTGCGAATTAAAAGGTAAGGGCTAGCTATTACATTCTCACTATGGGACAAATAAGGAAATGACAGTGGTATGTGGTTTAGAAGAAAACGAAACGATCAACAGCCTGGTTGTTATGAAATTATATACAGTTTACAGGAACAATAAGCTGACAACTGTATCTAGCTTACTGGACTTTGATGGTTTTATTCAGGTGCCTGTTTGTTCATAAAGTAATGCTGAGGTCTTCCTCCACCAGTAAAGCTAGTCGCCATATGACCTATACTGTGTTTGTGCTTTATCGTTAAACCTATTTATACTTGGCCATATTACAAACAAGACATCTCTATTATAACTAATAATATACAGAGATAAGTTGTGTATCATTCGCATACAGATGTTTATATCAACTCACAAGTAGACTTTTTTCTTCTTATTAATTATATTTATAGTGTTTCTAAATCGCTGTCACTGTATAGATATGAAGAAGAGATTGTTTTTGATTTGTTTAAACAAAAGGATTTATATTATTTAGTTCATGTTACAAATAGTTTCTTTTCAAACGGACATAATTATCATATTTTTTTATTTATAAATGCCTTTTACAATTAATTAATAAATTATTTATTTAATTGAAAGTCATACTTATCAATATTTGTTTTATATCTGCTTGCTCTTTAATTTTTCAATTGTGTGCAAATTGGCACTTTATTATTCTTAATTTAACATAGAATGAGATATAGATGCTTCTTATTTTTTAATCTGACAATTTCAGATTGCGGAGTCGTTAAAAATATCCAAAATGGGAAAATAACCTTAGACGATGCATCATCATCGACAATGGGGGCAACAGCGACAGTTGAATGTGATCCGGGCTATAAGGCAAGTCGCGAAATAATAAAGTGCTTAAAAACTGGGAAATGGAGAAAATCAAGTTGCAAAATAAAAGGTACTTTTCAAATGATAACATACATATTAATTAAAATAATATAAAATAAAATTTAAAAAAACAACATCCAAAAAAAATAAATAAATAAATAACAAACAAACATACAAAAAGGAAAAACAAGAAGCAAAGTTCCGCCATTCATAAAACCATCTCAATTACGTTTTAAAAAAAATGACAAACCAAGGATTTTATGATTTTATGATTGATTTTTCTATTCAAGTGATTCTACATAGAAATAAAATTAATGTTATCAGTGGTAAAAGTTGGCACTTATTTCAGGAAAAGTATTTAAGTATATATATCTTGACGCATGCGTATCGAATCTAGGAGCTTCGGTATCATTTGCCATTATTGCCATTTAAACTAATATAATATTAAAAGTGATCCAATTGTTAAGTTGTCTTTCATAGACTGTTTTTCCCCCATCAATTACTTATATATCGAGAGGGTTAATATATTCGATATATTGTCGTAACATTTGTAAAGCAGGCTATCTATATACAATTTAAATTAAATCAAGATATTAATTTGAACCATCATTTAGTGAGATTCTTGAAATATTGACAACGCGATAACAATAATCTTATTTTTCTTAAAGTGCCCATACTTTTCTATTTAATATAGATGTAAATTATTTCATGTATTTATTTAAAAATGGCATCCTTGCAATTCAATACAGATATCACAAGTTTCCATTGGAACTTGCTACAGAGGAGTTTACCTTTAGATTTCAAATAATCATTTGAATTAGACATTTGAATAAGACAAATCGGAAGCAACGTTATTCAAGTATCAAATAATAACAATACGTTTATTACTTTATAAAAAAATGATCTATCAAGGACTACACCGTAATATTTAATAGGTATTTGACACAATATGTGCTTTTTATTATCATCTTAATGTTGTGTCATTCTATAATGTTCTTACTTTAATAAGTCATTTGGCAAAGCCTATTAGCGGGAAATTCGGTTAAAATGTTCATATTTTACTTCACATTTCCCGTTTTAAAGTAAAGGTGTCATTCGGTATTTCATGCACCGCTTCTGTTTTCATTCCAAACACCTGGACGATTAGTTTTAAGCGAAAAGCTGCGATCGTTCCGATATAGGAATACCCCTTTATAATCACAGTGTTTCATTGAAAATGGTGGCGCCCAACTAGACAGAAACTGAAATTTCACAGATTTTATATAATTTTGAATTGTTCTTTTTTATTTCATTTTCTTTCAGATGCACACGTCTTTAGACGGGCAAGGCAAAGTCTGGATCCGCTACGCGGACACGGCCTTTGGTTTCCCGTATTTTTTTAAGTTTTATACTTAGCTTTTCAGAAATGTACCTCTTGAATTAAAATCTTGAAGAGGGAAATACAACTTCATGATAAGAGAACGCTACTGATAAAATATTGAAGTTTGTAAATACGAAAATAATTAGAATATATTCTTAGTTAATCGAGCGATTGTTTCAGTCATGCCCCACTCGCTGTCAATACAAAATACTGAGAAATAATTTCATTCTGGTATTCTAATTAATCGTTACAATGAATATACACAATTTACTCCACCTATGTTTTGTTTAACATCATGATATCAATTTTAAATGTAACCAATGAATTTAACAATTATTCAGACTGTGGATCTCAATTAAATGTGACCAATGGTAATTTGCACTTTAACACAACAACGTTTGGATCAATCGCTTCTCTGGTCTGTGATAGAGGATACGATGGAAACGGGACAATACGTTGCCTTGACAATGGAAGTTGGGCAACACCACCAATATGTTCTCTTAAAGGTCAATTTTAATTTGTTTCAATTTCAAACTTTGTTTAACATTAAGAACTTTTGTCAATACATTGGTTATTTATACATTTAACTACAATATAAGCCCGGACGATAATGATTTTTAAATGTATTATATAAGTGTTACTGTATAGGTGATTCAAAAAAGATCTGTCCCGTATTACCTTATAGGTATTGTACACATTATCTTATTTTGTTATATTATTTTCATCTCATATTTGTCTTACATTATTTTTTTTTAAATATGATATATATCCATTTAAAAGATGTACCGCTAATACAATGTTAAAGAATTAAAATCTAGAACAGGAACATACAACTTCATAGTAGAATAACGCTACTGATAAAATAATTGAGTCTGTTTCATGACGTTTTAGATTTAATGTCCCAGGAACCTTATACAAAATATTTCCTCCCATTTCCTTACAAAAATGTAACATGTTAATCAATCGACCCCTGAGTGTCTCACTCAAATATCAAAAGACTGTTCTTGTATTTTTTAGCTGACCAGAGCACATTCCGCTCACATTTGTAGCTCAACAAAAAACAACATTCTTTATGTGATTTATTGTGATTTTTTTTACCGCTGGTCGTCCTGTGTCAGTACGTGCGAGCTTACAATTTGGTTTTTATGTGGCCATGGGTTCAATTGGAAAAAGGGAAGCTATGTCTGATGATGTTTACCTTTGAAACAAAATAACAGTAAAATTATGCCGTTTATATATGAATAGCATACGGTTATAGGATAAATTGTTCCGGAAAAAATATAAAGCAGCTATTCTTTGTTCACTGTACGATGATTTCACTCATGCTCCACTCGCTGTCAATAAAATATACTGAGGAATTATTTCATTCTAGGTATTCTAGTTAATCATTACATTAAATATAAACAATTTTCCATCTATGTTTTACGTCATGATATAAATTCTAAATGTTTCTTATAAATTTTACAATTATTTAGACTGTGGGTCTCCATTAAATGTGACTAATGGTAAGCTGCACTTTAACACAACAAGGTTTGGATCAATCGCTTCTCTGGTTTGTGATAGAGGATATGATGGAAACGGGACAATAAGATGCCTTGACACTGGCAGTTGGGAAACACCACCGATATGTTCTATAAAAGGTCAACTTTAATTTGTAACAATTACAATCGTTGTTATTATAAAATACTTTTGTCAAGAAATTAGTAATTTATAATTTTACTACAATGAAATGCCGAACATTAATAGTTATAAATGAGTTATATGCATGACTGTATAGAATATCTGAAAATGATCTATCAAGAATTATACCATATAATGTAATAGGTATTTCACACAATATGTCTTTTTATTGTCATCTTTATATTATGTCATTCTATTATGTTATTACTTTCATATGAAATTGGCAAAGCCTCTGAGCGGAAAGTCGGTTAAAAATCCTTCATTTTTAACTTAACATTTCCCGTTTTAAAGGTGTTAGTTTGTATTTCATGCAGCACTTCTGTTTTCACTCGAAACACCTGAACGATTATTTTAAGCCGAAACGCTGCGATCGTTACGTTATCGGAATACCCGCCTATTATCATAGTGTTACATTAAAAATGGCGACACCCAAGCAGATCTGAAACTGAAAAATACATTGACTAAATATCTATATATTTTTAAATTGTTCTTTTTTATTTGATTTTCTTATAGATTTACACGTCTATAGAATGGCAAGGCATAGTCAGTATCCGCTTTGCGGACACGGCCTTTGGTTTCTCGTATTATTGAAGTTTATTATTTAGCTATTCAGAAATGTACCTCTTGAACAACGCTAAAAAATAAAATCTTGAACAGGAAAATACAACTTCATGATAAGACAACGCTACAGATAAAATAATGATTTTGGAAATAAGATATGAGCTGCATCACAGCAAAACCAACATAGTGCGTTTGCGACCAGCATGGATCCAGACCAGCTTGGGCATCCGCGCAGTCTGATTAAGATCCATGCTGTTCGCTTACCCATTCAATTACATGTAGATAAACTGATAGCGAACAGCATGGATCCTGATCAGACTGCGCGGATGCGCAAGCTGGTCTGGATCAATGCTGGTCGCAAACGCACTATGTTGGTTTTGTCGTGATACGGTTCATATATAGAGGCTATTCTTAGTTAATTGGTCGATAATTTCACGCATGCCCCACTCGCTGTCAATAAAATATACTGAGGAATTGTTTCATTCTATGTATTCTAGTTAGTCTTTCAAATGAATTTAAACCATTTTCCCTATCTATGTTTAACATCATGATATAGATTTTAAATGTTTCTTATAAATTTAACCATTATTCAGACTGTGGGTCTCCATTAAATGTGACTAATGGCAAAGTGCACTATAGCGCAACAACGTTTGGATCAACCGTTTCTCTTGTTTGTGATAGTGGTTATGATGGAAACGGGACAATAAGCTGCCTTGACACTGGCAGTTGGGAAACACCACCGATATGTTCTATTAAAGGTCAATTTTAATTTGTAACAATTACAATCGTTGTTACTTTAAAAAATGTTTTGTCAAGAAATTAGTAATGTATATGTTTAGCTACAATGAAATGCCGAACGTTAATGAGTTATAAATGTGTTATATGCATGACTGTATAGAATATCTGAAAATGATCTATCAAGAATTATACCATATTACGTAATAGGTATTTGACACAATATGTCTTTTTTATTGTTATCTTTATATTGTGTCAGTCTATCATGTTCTTACTTTCATATGAAATTTGGCAAAGCCTATGAGCGGGAAAGTCGATTAAAAATCCTTCATTTTTTATTGAACATTTTCCTTTTATCAGGTGTTATTTGGTATTTTATGCACCACTTCTGTCTTCACACAAAACACCTGAACGATTATTGTTAAGCCAAAAATCTGTGATCGTTTCGTTATCGGAATACCTGCCTATTATCATAGTGTTGCATTGAAAATGGCGACGCCCAAGTAGATATGAAACTGAAAACTTCACTAATTCAAAAATCTATATATGTTTGAATTGTTCTTTTTTATTTGATTTTCTTGTATATTTACATGTCTATAGAATGGCAAGGCGAAGTCAGGATCCGCTTTGCGGACATGGCTATTGGTTTCTCGTATAATTGAAGTTTAATATTTAGCTTTTCAGAAATGTACCTCTTGATCAACTCTAAACAATAAAAATCTTGAACAGGGAAATACAACTTCATGATGAGAGAACGCTACAGATAAAATAATGAGTATTGGAAATAAGATATTTAGAATCGATTTTTAGTAAATTGGTCGATGAATTTACTCATGTCCCACTCGCTGTAAATAAAATATACTGAGGAATTATGTAATTCTAGGTATTCTAGTAAATCTTTACAATGAATATAAGCCATTTTCCCCGTCTATGTTTAACGTCATGATATATATTTAAAATGTTACATATGAATTTGACCATTATTCAGACTGTGGGTCTCCATTTAATGTGACTAATGGTAAGCTGCACTATAACGCAACAACGTTTGGATCAACCGCTTCTCTTGTTTGTGATAGTGGATATGATGGAAACGGGACAATAAGCTGCCTTGACACTGGAAGTTGGGAAACACCACCGATATGTTCTATTAAAGGTAATTTTATCAATATCAATCTTTTTTATTAATCAGAACTTTTGTCAATAGATTTGTAATATGTATTTTACTACAATGTAATCCCGGTAGTTAATGAGTTATAAATTGAGTTTTATGTATTACTGTATAGAATATTTGAAAAAGATCAAGAATTACACCATATTACCTTACAGGTTTTTAACACAAAATGTGTTTTTATTATCACCTTCATATTGTGTCATTCATTAAATTTTCTTACGTAAATATAAAATTTGGCAAAGCCTTTGCGCGGAAAGTAGGCTACAAAATCGATCATTTTTTTACTTGATATTTTCCGTTTAAAAGATGTCATTCGGAATTTAATGCACCAGTTCTGTTTTCACTCGATTATTTTTAAGCCGAAAAGTTGTGATTGTTCAGTTATTGGAAGACTCTGCCTATTTTATAGTGTTTCATTTAAATATGGCGGTGCCCAACTAGATATGGCACTGAACATTTCACTGATTTATAACTCTATATATTTTTGAATTTTTTTTTCATTTTTTTTTTCATTTTTTTTTTTCATTTGATTTCTTTTTAATATTTACTTGTAGTCTATAGCTGTGCAAGCTAAAGCTAGGCCATGCTTTGCGGACCTGGAATTTGTCTTCCACATATTATTGAAGTTTTATATTTAACTATTCAGAAAAGTTCCTCTTGGAAAACATTAAAGAATTAAAATCTGGACAGGGAAATACGACTTCAGGATATGATAACGCTACAGATAAAACATGGTCCGTGATGTTAAAAGTTGAAGATCACAGTGATCTTTAGCAAGATATGTAATTGTTTTCCAAAAACTACTTACTGAAATGTAACATATCAATTAATTGAAAGTCCTCTAAATAATACAAGAATGGTGTATTACGCAACTATGAAATATTTATTTTCATATAGTATAGTTTGCAATTTTCATTATTTGCTTAAATTGCACCTAATGTATGACACATCTAAGTCGTGTTTGTAAAGGCCACATGATCGAAAGCCATCATTACTATGACGTTGAATATCTAAATTATTTCTGTTATTTTTTATCTTCATGATTTTATTCTCAATATTTATTAATTTACTATTCAAGTTAAATGTATATTAATCATTGACATTATTTTATCCTTTATAAAGTCTTAAAAACATTAGCTGATATGTAAATGTATTTTTATGTTATACAAATTTAGCACCGTAATAAACTATGAATACGTTTTCTTAAATGATATATTAAGTGTTGATAATATGGTTGTAAAGACTCACGTCTAACTGTTCATAATATTTGTGTATCTCATTGTGATTCTTCACTAGCCTTGATAATGCTCTCTATGTTATTTTGTTGTTATGTGTTTACTTTTAGTTCTTGATTGTCCTGGAGGATGGAGCAGATTTGAAAATAGTTGTTATCTGCGTGTAGAAAGTAGGTCTACATGGGAAACTGCCAAAGTAATAATATTTCTTTTATTATCCTATGCTGTTTAGCTGTTCGTCCAACTGATACCGGTAATATGCTCCATCTATAACATGTTTTATAGAAACACTGGCTCCCAAATATGAATATAAGAACGTATAGTCCATGCAAAACAGCCTTTATGTACATTTTGATTGAGCAGTGAAATCATTTTGAAGGATAAAATGTGTCTGCTTATTTGAAAATATTTAGAAAGATATCGATTTTTAAAGAAATATAATAACGGTCAGTATTCTTTAACAATAACATACGACGACTATTACATATTATTTATCAAGCAATGCTGTACAAGTAGATATAAAATCACATCATATTAAGTCAATATTTTTCTATACATTTCTTTCTTATAAAAATAATCATATCTACTATCGCTGCAGCATTTTTACAGACGAAAATAAAATAAAAGTGCAAACATACATGTATCTTGAAAAACACTGATAAGATTTTCTAGCAAATGAATACACATTATGCAACCGAAGAAATTGTAATAATCAATTACTAGATACATGTTTCCATAAATCATTAGTTTGACTGTATAAATGACATCTTTATATTTATCAATGTCACTTTCTGTAATAAGGTACATTAACAAATTTTTGATAAGTTTTTAATGTTAACTATTTTCGAGATAAAAGAAGGTACAGATACCATCAAAAGCATGCATTTACATGACCGAAATGCAGGCTTGTACAATAGAACATGTTTGATTACACATTGTGAATGGGAATTGTAGTCATATGCTTAAGAACTTTATATAGGTTTTCATAATGTTGTAAAGAGGGCGAAATGTGTCTTCAGATCGTAATGAAACAACTCCCCTATAAGGCAAACTTCTAAATTCCGTATATCATTTCTTTTCAAACTCTTTAAACAAGAGGGCCATGATTGCACTGAAATCGCTTAAATGAATATAAAAATTCTTCATGACAAGGAACAAAAAATGTTGTAAACTATAAGCAAAATCAGATATAAAATGTAAATCAAAAACTGATATCAAAAAGTTCATATTTTTATCTGAAATAATGCATGTGTAAAACATTACTGGTTGTTAAGGGAAAACAACATTTGCAAAAGATGTGTACATGTAAAAAAATCAATGGCTCCTGTGGCGGGGCTAATTTTGACCCCAGGGCTTTTCTTTGAAAAGCAGATATAAAATGTAAATAAAAAATCATATCACAAAGTTCATATTTGTATCTGAAACAGTGCATGTGTAAAACATTACTCGTTGCTATTGCTAAGGGAAAACAACATTTGCAACAAATGTGTACATGTGAAGAAAAATCAATGGCTCCCGTGTCGGCCAATTTTGACACAAGGGCTTTTATTTGAACAAACTTTGTAGAAACTCATTAAAAGATGTTTCTTGCCAAAAAGCTAAGCTCTAGCATTTCGGGATTTTAAATGAATATTTTTTAAAACTTTTACTAAATACAAGTAAGTTAAATCTAAGTCCCCCGAGGCGGGGCAAATTTTGACCCAAGGGTTTTTATTACAATGATAGAGAGAGACACAAAATGGATCACAAGAAGTGACTTCAAACATCTATACTTAAATATACTTAAATATAATAGTACACAAACATGTTTATTTTAAATAATAAATATATGGAGTTGCTTTTTCTCCTGCAGACTGATTGCGAGTCAAAAAAAGGATACCTTGTTGAAATCACCTCTCGCTCTGAATACAATTTTCTTTTAGCGGATCTCATTGTTGAAGGTAAGTAAAACGTTATTACAGTATAGCATTTAAAGGGACCAGCTTATTACTTTACAGTTGTTTTGAGTTTACGTTACAGCAACACAATAAAGACCTTATGGCGACTTTCCTTAGTTGTTTGCTCATTTTGTGTATTTTACCAATAACACATTCTTACAAATAATAACTTTCCAAGTTTTAAACGTCGGAAAGTAGACGTGTAATCGAGACCCGTCCCTGCATACACGCATCTCACTGGATGAACCCTTTGCTCTAACCAGTTAACATACACATGTACGTTCGAATTGATTCTGACGTTTAAAAATAAAAGTAGCAAAGATGTGCTATAAAGTTTTATTCTGGATATCTGATGGGTCCAATCTAAAAACTTCAAACACTTGTAGCTTCAGTTTGGCATTTTTACAATAATGCAATCAGATCTTTTCCAAAGGACACTTTCGACCGATCTGATATTTAACATTTTATGAAAACCCAAGATCATTTTATGACATTTTTTTTTCTAGAAACAGTTATATTTTTCTAACATTTTCTTAAACTTAGTGGCGTTATGCCGATCGGAGCTGAACAAGTGCATAATTTCAGGGAACAGTCCGTGGAGAGTTGTATTCCTTGCTATAAATTTATAGTATATCTTGATATTGATATGTGACATATCAATTATATTTATTGTGATTTAGAAAATAACATTCACATAATTGTTTTGAACTTCAAGGTTTTTGAAGGGGGTCTTGGGGTCGACCTTTGACTTGTAACAGAACTGTCTATGCACCGTACACCTATGTCTATAATCATACATTTCATTTAGAAAGACTTGAGACCGAACGTTTATTTTGCTAACAACGAAATTACCTATTAAGTCATGTGTAATGTAGTGAATAGTTTTAAAAGGGAAATAAACCTAGTTTTCATTACAAAAAAAATGTATAATTAATATCTCTATGAATATGTGTATTTACTTCATTGACATAAACAATGTATACATTATGAGATATCTATAGAGTAGAGTTATTAATATATATATATAAAGTATATGCTTTTTTTAAGATATTTGTTTGACTCTCTAAAAGGCAAAATGTTTTAACAAAAATGTCAGCTTACAATGAACAATATAGATATTGAAATTTCTTTGTAAAAATAAAACCGCCCAAAAACAATCACATTTACAATAATATATAAGACGTGTGGCTTTTTATTTTGTATCTTTCCTTTAAGCCATATTAAAACTTTATTGTCCATATGCTGGTATCTTTGAGAAAATATATGAAGAAATGTATATTAAATTGACAAAATACATGTTTTCACGCATAGAAAAGATGGCGAGGGATATGAAAATAATCTTCTTCCATGCGTTCATCCGTTTTTCTTTGTGTGATTAATAAATATACTACTTTTGATAAGCACCATTACTTAATTTTATATTGTCACAAGTTTTAAACAGATTTCTTTCCAACTTTGGAAAATACTGATAGCACAATGATTTGAAAGCATGCACCCTAACATTTTCATGTCTTTGATTGTGTGTACAATCACATGTCTTTTTTATAAGGCGAAATTACCGGCCTACTGTCATTCAGTGGCTAAATATCTTAGATATGACGAATGCTAACATTGGGTGGCATTTGAGAGAAGCAGAGTTGTGGACAATTAAAGGGATGGTGCAACAAGGTAGCCACCTTCCGCCAGTTTGATGCGGCGCTTAATGTAGTATAAAAAACCGCCATCACCAAAGCCTTGGAGAGATACCGGCTACATAATACACCCGCCAAGAGGCATGCTGGGGGTCGGCAAAGTGTCATAAAACTAGCTAAGGATCGGTTTTTGGTTTTCAGGCATGTCGTGCAATGTTTTTAACAACAACTTCTTTTCAAATTAACCTCGCTAATGTTGAGGGTGTCCTTGTTTCGATGCAATGTGTACGTATAATGCTTTATGAAGGTCGAGTAGACCTTGCATTCGTATCCCTTTGACGTGTTGACATCGCCAGGCCGGTTTGGAATGGACCATGGAGCATATACGTGAATCATGCACCACTGAAGACACTTTATATTCACTAATGAGTCCAGGTTTTGTATAAATTTCACAGATAGGCGTGCTAGAGTCTTTAGAAGACGCGATAAATGGTTTTAGACTGCAAATTTTGCTGGGCATGACCGTTAGGGAGTAATTTATGGTGTGGGGAGGAATAAGCTGGAATGCACAAACCGACCTGGTTGTGCAAAATATAGATGGGCAGCCATATCTGTTGAAATGATCAAAAACCTAAAAGGGACAATTTAATAAATTAAAAAAAAACACGCTGCATGTTCTGAAATCTTCAAAGAAGGCGTCATCCTCTTTTTTAGCACACAATCAGTGTTAATCTTATTTATAGGGTTAAATTCATCCTTCAACATTTGAAACCTTTCACACGACGTTAATAAATTGTGCCCCAAAGTTAATTACACTCAAACATATGGTGCTTAGCAAAAGGTTGGTATATATGTATTTTATATATCAGTTTATGTAGACATATTTCATGAAATTAATTATATCTTATTGCATATATGATGAGACAAATTATCAAATGGATATGAGCACACGGTTCTTTTTTATGGATGTTTATATAAATAGTTGTTTACAAAAATACGATTTGTGATCATTTGTAACTCTTAGAATTTTAGTTCATCACCTGTAAACACAAACTGCGTTTGCTACCGATGGACCTATGACTAACTGTACACATTAGCATGATAATTGGATATATAGCAAAAATGTTCTTAAAGAGAAATGCAGTGAATCGGAATTCCTCTCTTATAAGCGTTTCACTTTATGCAGAAAAAAATTGAGCTATTATCACAAACCTCTTTTTTATTTTAAATGTCAGTCGGTGCCAGTGAATGATTCTCTTTTTATAACACTTCTATTCGACGGGAGATTTAACAGTCTGTAAATGCTTCTTATTTCATATAAAAACGGGGATACAACGTATTTTTTGAACGTTTGATATCTTAAGAAACACAATTGTACATAGAAACACAATTGTACATTGGATTATAAAATATTATTTTTCAGGTATTTGGCTAGGAGTAAATGATATAAAATCAGAAGGTACATTTTTGTGGGAATATTCAGGAGCATCATTTGACAAATCCATATTAGCCAATAACATTTTTCGAAATTCTCCTGAACGAGATTGTGTCATCTATTATTACCAGTCAGTTTGGATGCTAGGAAATTGTGAATTGGAAAACGAGTATTTGTGCGAAATGTCCCTCCGTGAGTAAAATCTAAATAATAATTACTTTTTTTAATTGTTGAAATAACTGTTACTCGTCCTTTTTGAAACCTGACAAGCTTTTCTGTACACGTTTTGACGTCATTATATGGAATATAAATTAAAGTGTATACATATGTCTGATGATGTTAAGTTGTGAAACAAATTAACGGTAAAATTATGCCGATTTTATATGAATAGTGTATGGAAATAGGATAAAATGTTCCGGGGAAAAATATAAAGCAGCTATTCTTTGTTCACTATACGATGATTTCGCTCATGCCCCATTCGCCGTCAATAAAATATACTGAGGACAACTTTCATTATAGGTATTCTAGTTAATCGTTACAATAAATATAAACCATTTTCCGCCTATGTTTGACGTCATGATATCGATCTGAAATTAAACTAATGACTTTAAAAATTATTCAGACTGTGGTTCTCCATTAAATGTGACTAATGGTAAGCTGTACTATAACACAACAACGTTTGGATCAACCGCTTCTCTTGTTTGTGATAGTGGATATGATGGAAACGGGACAATAAGCTGCCTTGACACTGGAAGTTGGGAAACGCCACCAAGATGTTCTATTAAAGGTTTATCTTAATTTGTATCAATTAGAATCGTTGTTATTATAAAAAACTTTTGTCAAGTAATGTATATTTTTTTAGCTTTAATGAAATGCAGCACGTTAATGAGTTATAAATGTGTTATGTGCATGTAAAGAATATCTGAAAATGATCTATCAAGAATTATACCATATTAGGTATTTTACACAATATGTCCTTTTTATTATCATCTTTATATTGTGTCATTCTATCATGTTCTTACTTTAATATGAAATTTGGCAAAACCTATGAGCGGAAAAGTCGGTAAAAAATCCTACATTTTTTATTTAACATTTTCCGTTTTAAAGGTGTTATTCGGCATTTCATGCACCACTTCTGTTTTCACACGAAACACCTGAACGATTATTTTAAGCCGAAAATCCGCGATCGTTCTGTAATTGGAAAACCCGCATATTATCAAAGTGTTACAGTGAAAATGGAGACGCCCTAGTAGATATGAAACTGAAAACTTCACTGATTTAAAAAAAATCTATATATTTTTGAATTGTTCTTTTTTATTTGATTTTCTTTTAGGTTTACACGTCTATAGAATGGCAAGTCAAAGTCAGGATCCGCTTCGCGGACACGACCTTTTGTTTCTCGTATTATTGAAGTTTAATATTTAGCTATTCAGAAATGTACCTCTTGATCAATGCTAAAGAATAAAAAAAATCTTCAACAGGAAAATACAACTTCATGATAAGAGAACGCTACAGATAAAATAATGATTTTTGGAAATAAAATATTTAGAAGCTATTCTCACTAAATTGGTCGATAAGTTCACTCATGTCCCACTCGCTGTCAATAAAATATACTGAGGAATTATTTCATTCAAGGTATTCTAGTAAATCTTTACAATGAATATAAACCATTTTCCCCATCTATGTTTAACGTCATGATATAAATTTTAAATGTTACATATAAATTTAACCGCCTATGTTTGACGTCATGATATCGATCTGAAATTAAACTAATGACTTTAAAAATTATTCAGACTGTGGGTCTCCATTTAATGTGACTAATGGTAAGCTGCACTATAACTCAACAACGTTTGGATCAACCGTTTCTCTTGTTTGTGATAGTGGATATGATGGAAACGGGACAATAAGCTGCCTTGACACTGGAAGTTGGGAAACACCACCGATATGTTCTTTTAAAGGTCCATTTAAGTTTTATCAATATCAATCTTTTTTATTATTCAGAACTTTTGTCAATAGATTTGTAATATGTATTTTACTACAATGTAATCCCGGTAGTTAATGAGTTATCAATTGAGTTTTATGTATTACTGTATAGTATATAGAATATAGAATATATAAGAATTACACCGTATTAACTTAAAGGTTTTATTACACAAAATGTGATTAGTTTTTATTATCACCTTCATATTGTGTCATTCATTAAATTTTCTTACGTAAATATAAAATTTGGCAAAGCCTTTGCGCGGAAAGTCGGCTACAAAAATCGTTCATTTTTTATTTGACATTTTCCGTTTAAAAGATGTCATTCGGAATTTAATGCACCAATTCTGTTTTCACTCGATTATTTTTAAGCCGAAAAGTTGCGATTGTTCCGTTATCGGACTACTCTGCCTAGTATTATAGTGTTTCATTAAAAAAATGGCGGTGCCCAACTAGATATGACACTGAACATTTTACTGATTTAAAACTCTATACTTTTTATTATTATTATTTGATTTTTTTATATTTACGTGTAGTCTGTAGCTGTGCAAGCTAAAGCTAGGCCATGCTTTGCGGACCTGTCATTTGCCTTCCACGTATAATTGAAGTTTAATATTTAACTATTCAGAAATGTACCTCTCGGACAACATTAAAGAATTAAAATCTGGACAGGGCAAAACAACTTCATGATAGGATAACGCTACAGATAAAACATAATGTTTTTGGTCCATGATGTTAAAAGTTGAAGATCACAGTGATCTTTAGCAAGATAATTGTTTCCCAAAAAACTTCTTACTGAAATGTAACATATTAATTAATTGAAAGTCATCTCAATAACACAAGAATGGTTACTTTCAAATATTTTCATCTAGTATAGTTTGCAATTTTCCATTTTTTGGTCAAATTGCACCAAATGTATGACACATTCAAGTCGTGTTTGCATAGACCACATGATCGAAGGTCATCATTACTATGACGTTGAATATTTAACCTATTTCTGTTAATTCTTATCTTCATGATTTTATTCTCAATATTTAATAATTAACTATTTAAGTTAAATGTATATTAATCATTGACATTCTTTGTCCTTTATAAAGTCTTAAAAACTTTAGCTGATATATAAATGTATTTGATGTAATACAAATTTAGCACCGTAATAAACTATTAATACGTTAAAGTGTTTGATAATATGGTTGAAAAGACTCACGTCTAACTGCTCATAATATTTGTCTATCTCATTGTAAATCTTCACTAACCTTAATAATGCTCTCTATGTTATTTTGTTGTTATCTGTTTACTTTTAGTTCCTGAATGCCCTGGAGGATGGAGCAGATTTGAAAATAGTTGTTATCTGCATGTAGAAAGTATGGCGACATGGGAAACTGCCAAAGTAATATTTTTTCTTTTATTATCAATACTGTTTAAGAGTTCGTCCAACTGATAATATACTCCATCTACAACAGTTTTTATAGAAATACTGGCTCCCAATATGAATATAAGAACGTATATTCCATTCGAAACAGCCGTTATGTACCAAGATACATTTTTACTTGAGCAGTGTAATCAATTTGGAGGATAAAATGTGTCTGCTTATTTGAACATCCATGTATTTAGAAAATATTGTTTTAAATAAGTTCTTTAAAAAATATGATAACGGTCAGTATTCTATTAATTTTAGTTATCAAGCAGTGCTGTAGATATCTAATCATATTAAGTCAATATTTTGCTATATATTTCTTTCTTATAAAAATAATCATATCTTCTATCGCTGCAGCATTTTTACAGACGAAATAAACTTAAAGTGCAAACATACATGTATGATAAGATTTTCTGGCAAATGAATACACACGCAAACCTTAATTCAACCAAAGAAATTGTAATAATGAATAACTAGATACATGTTTCCATAAACCATTAGTTTGACTGTATAAATGACAGCTTTTATTCTTAATTATAAATGTCACTTTCTGTAAAAAGGTACATTAACATATTTTTATAAGTTTTTAATGTTAACTATTTAAAATAGGTTTTCTAAATGTTTTAAAGAGCGTGAAACGTGTCTTCAGATCGTTATGAAACAACTCCCCTTTAATGCAAATCATTTAAATTCCGTATATCATTTCTTTTAAAACTCTTTAAACAAAAGGACCATGATTGCACAGAAATCGCTTACCTGAATATAAAAATTCTCCATGACAAGGAACAAAAAATATTGTAAACTATAAGCAAAAGTAAATGTAAATGTAAATCTTAAACTGATATCAGAAAGCTCATATTTGTATCTGAAATAGTGCATGTGTAAAACATTACTGGTTGCTATTGCTAAGGGAAAACAACATTTGCAAAAGATGTGTACATGTTAAGAAAATCAATGGCTCCCGTGGCGGGACAAATTTTGACCCAAGGGCTTTAATTTGAACAAACTTGGTAGAAACTCATTAAAAGATGTTTCATGCCAAAAAGCTAAGCTCTAGCACTTTAGGTTTTTAAATGAACATTTTTTGAAAACTTTTACTAAATAGAATATGACCTCCGAGGCGGGGCCAATTTTGACCCAAGGCTTTTTATTTGAATGAACTTGGTAGACATTCACTAGAAGATGTTCCATACTAAATAGCTAAGCTCTAGCTCTTTGGGATTTTTAAAAGTAGAGTTTTTAAGTTATTACGTTATACATATATGGAAAATTAATGACACCCCGGTGGTGGGGCCAATTTTGACTGGAGGGCTTTCATTTGAATTAACTTGGTAGGCACCCAATAGAAATTGTTTCATGCTAAATATCTATGCTCTACCTCTTTGTGTTATTTTTAAAGATATTTTTAAGTTATCACTAGATACATTATAGGAAAATCAATAACCCCTTGGTCGGAACCAATTTTAACCCCAGGATTTTATTTGAACAAGCTTGGTGAACACCTATTAGAAGATGTTTCATGCCTAATCTCTGAGCTCTAGCCCTTTGGGTTTTCCAATAGAAGATTTTTTAAGTTCTCACTGGATATATATAAAGAAAATCAATGACCTCCCAAGGCGGGGCATTTTTGACCCCAGCTATCTAACCTCTTGTTCAATTTTGTTGTTGTTTTTTTTAAGTTTTTTTTTCTATCGGTTGCCATTGAAACCCTAATTCTGTATGGAATATAATTATTTTAACAATTTTAAAGACCACCAAATAAATATTCCTTTGAAGTTTGGATGAAATTTGCTATGTTATGTTGTGTATCATATTGATGAAAACTAAGGTGATGGAAACTGTCATGAAAAATCCATTGCTTTGGCTATACAAGGAACGTACTTACAATTCCTGTAGCACAAAAATCACAAGGCTAAATGTTAATTTATGACAAGTTTTATAATTAAAAAGAAGAATTTTAATAAGAACATTTAAAATGAAGCAAATTTGTTTTCAATGACATCATTAAAAACAAAAAAAATCAGTTTGATAATGCATCAACAATGACATATCTTTCCAACTCGGTCACAATTCCGAATAAAGACACTTTTGTTTTAAGCGAAATTAAATAGTTATAGTTATATCTTCATTAAGAGATAACTACATGTATCAGATAGATGACACAAGTTCTTGACATTTAAAGCTACCTTGCAATATTGTTCTTGGCAAAAACTCTCGCAGAAAATGATAGAGAGAGAAACAAAATGGATCACAAGTAGTGACGTCAAACTTCTGTATTTAAATATGATAGGACACATACATGTTTATTTAAAATAATAAATGTATGGAGTTGCTTTTTTCTCCTGCAGAATGATTGTGAATCAAAAAAAGGATACCTTGTTGAAATCACCTCTAGCTCTGAATACAGTTTTCTTTTAGCGGATCTCATGGTTGAAGGTACGTAAAATGTTATTACAGTATAGTTTTTAAAGGGACCAATCAAATGCAATAAGTTCTTTTCCAATGGACACTCTCGAACGATATGATATTTTACATTTGATGAAAACCAAGATCATTTCATGACATTTTTTCTAGAAACAGTCATATTTTCTAACATTTTCTTAAACATGATGACGTTATGCCTATCGAAGCTGCACAAGTGCAGGGAACAGTCAGTGGAGAGTATAAATTTATAGAATATTTTGATATTGATATGTGACATACCAATTATATTTATTGTGCTTTAGAAAATTTCATTCACATAATTTGTTTGCACTTCAACGTTTTTAAAGGGGGTCGTGGGGATGGCCTTAGACTTGTAGCAGAACTGTCAATGTGCCGTACACTTTTGTCTATAATCATACATTTCACTTAGAAAGACGACTTGAAGACCGAACATTTCTTTGGTTAACGACGAAATTACCTATTAAGTCATGTGTAATGTAGTGAATAGTTTTACAAGGGGAAATAAACTTAGTTTTCATTACAAAATGTATAAATAATATGTCTATGAATATATGTATTTACTTCATTGACATAAACAATGTAAACAATGTAAGTTATCTATAGAGTAGAGTTATCAATATATAAAGTATATGCTTTTTTAAATCTATTTGATTGACTCACTAAAAGGGAAAATGTTATATCAAAAGTGTCAGCTTACAATGAACCATATAGATATTGGAATTTATTTGTTAAAAATATAACCGCCACAAAAACAATCACCTTTAAAGTAACATGACAGACGTGTGGAATTTAATTATATACCTTTCTTTCTAGAAAGGTTAGATTTAATTTTTAAGCCATATTAAAACCTTCATGTCCATATGCTGGCATCTTTGAGAAAATGTATGATAGTCCCCTAATTTATCCATTTTGCCTTATCCGTTGCAATACTGCACCCTAATATTTTCATGTGTTTGATTGTGTGTACAATCACATGTCTTTTTTATAAGGCAAAATGACCAGCCTATTGTCATTCAGTGGCTTACATATCTTTGATATGACGAATGCTAACATTAGGTGGCAGTTGAAAGTAGCAGAGTTGTGGAGGACTAAATATAGATGGGCAGCCATATCTGTTGAAATGATCAAAAACCTAAAAGGGACAATTTAATAAATTTGAAAAACACGCTGCATGTTTTAAAATCTTCAAAGAGGGTGTCATCCACTTCTTTAGCACAAAATCAGTGTAAATCTTATTTTTATGGTTAAATTCGTCCTAAGCTAATTTGATAGAACAGTAAATCAACAGTTTATATAGATATAGTTCATGAAATTAATTTTATCTTATTACATAGATAATGAGACAAATTATCAAATCGATATGAGCACACGCTTCTTTTTTATGAATGTTTTATATAAATTGTTGCTTACAAAAAAAATACTACGCTTTGTTATCATTTGTAACTGTAAGAACTTTAGTGCATCACCTATAAACACAAACTGCGCTTGCTACCGATCGACCTCTGACTAACTGTAAACATTAGCATGATAATTGGATACATAGCCAGATGTGTTTGAAGAGAAATGCAGTGAATTGGAATGAGAACTCCACCATTTTACAGTCTCGGTGTTATTACTCTTTTATAAGTGTTTCACTTTAAGCAGAAAAATTGAGCTATTATCACAAACCTTTTTTTTATTTTAAATGTCAGTCGGTGTTAGTAAATAATCCTCTTTTTATAACACTTTTTTCTGTTCGACGGATTTTACAATCTGTAAATGCTTCTTATTTCATATAAAATGGGGATACAACGTAATTTTTAAAAATCTAATATCTTAACCCTTTACCTCATATATACGCGAAACAAAACGCACTTTCGCCCCCCCCCCCCTCCCCCCTTTTTTAGACCTGATATAGTGAAAAAATGTCCTATTATGGCCCCAACCACATGTTTTCGTTTGCGAAATGTTGCTAAAATAATGAGCACTTTTTCGGCGCCGCCCCCATCCAAAAGATACATCAGGGGGTTGCCAGAAGGGGGATGTACCCCCTTCTTTTTGGGGGGTTTGAAGGGGCAGAGTCCCCCTTATCGCCAAGAAAATTTTGGACTTGTGAGAGGCTTAAAATGACCCCAGGTCGATCATAAGGTAACGTGTTACCAACGCTGAAAAGCCTTTGACTCTATCTTATCCCCTTGAGAAGTTGCAGCACTTTGAAATACATTTTGATGGAAAAAATCGAGGCAAAATAGTGATTTTTGGCAATTTTGAGATGTCCCCTCGTTGCCATGGTAACAGGTAATTTAAGACTGAGCATGTCGTTACAGAGGCAATGGTCCAGTCAACATTTGTGCCAAGTTTTATTAGTATCGAAGTATTTTTCATAGTTTCATAGTATTTTCACAATATGCTCATGGGGGAAAGGGTTAAGAAACAAAATTGTACATTGGGATTACAATACATTATTTTTCAGGTATTTGGCTAGGAGTAAGCGATATAAAATCAGAAGGTACATTTTTGTGGGAATATTCAGGAGCATCATTTGACAAATCCATATTAGCCAATAACATTTATCTAAATTCTCCTGAACGAGATTGTGGCATCTATTATTACCTTGAAGTTTGGGTGCTAGGAAATTGTGAATTAAAATACGAGTATTTGTGCGAAATGTCACTCTGTGAGTAAAATCTTGATAATAATTACTTTTTTTTAATTTTTGAAATAACAATTGATTTAAATTAGATATTCTGTAGCGTTCTTTCATTGCTGTAACTATATAGTGTCAGATGGAATCATTTGTAGATCAAGGATAGAAATCCTGGAACCTCAGCTAATTATTTTGAATTTTATCGATGAGCTTTCGCGGTTGACAATAAGTGAATTTATTACCATGACAGAAATAATAAATATCGTTTCCTTTGAAAACTAGAAAATTGTTCATTTTAACGTTTGGCGTCGGAGTTTATGTATAAAGTCCAGTGTCCTATATTCTATAAATGTTAACAAACACTGAAAATTTGATACTTTATTTGTTAAAGTGTATCATATTGTATCAACAGCTTAGTTAGTTCTTTGATATAAACAATATAAAAAAAAAAAATCAAAAATTAATAGAAATAGATAAAATTTAATTTCAAAATAGAATCATAAATTAATTTTAAAGATCCTTTCGGTAGAAAAGGGTATTAACATGGTTATACACAATGATTCTGTGAATAAAATGCTTTTCTTCTCTTTCAGAGATACAAAGGACTTTACCAGGAAAAGGAATTTAAAAAGATGTATTTGATACAATCATTTAGTTGTTGTTTTATTCTTTTTAAAGTTGAAATGATTCAAACCAAGCAAATTCATCAAATATTGAAAGTATATCGATAATAAAGTACGTTCTGATAGACTGGGTGTTGTTTATTTACATAAGACGGCATTTGAACTTAGGTACTATGTAATAATCCAAAAGATCTATATATATGATTAAAAGTATTATTTTTCTGAAAGGTCATGGTGATATTATTTAGTCAGTGTCCTTGTTGATGATACAAAGTAAAATGCACAACTTATCTGACATTGTTTGTATTTATAAATCTATAACAGTTTATGCTGTCGAAATATAATATAATGTATATACATTTGTTAATGTTCTTACTTGAACACAAGGTAAAGGTAATGATAAAATCTTATGAGCTGTAGATAATGCTACAAGTAGCCATAAATACACCAATTAGGCATCCTAAAGGTAACACGAATCATGCATTGTTCTTACATAAGGCCTTTCTGAAAAATAATTTGAGCTAATGATAGCGCTAATGTTAATCCACGATAATACAACATCAGTATTAGAATAGAAAACTAAACACACACGAATCCTTCACATGAGCCACAAATAAAGCTAACATAAACTATAAGAATAAGTTGTATTTAAAAAAATGCAATGCTAGTAGAAGGTCTATATATAGCTCTCATAATCATTGAATAAACATTTGAATAACTTACATAGACCCTTGAAACAGCTTTATTGACCAAATTTAAAGACAATATTAGCGCTAAAAAAACTTAAAATTGGCTCATAATGTATCAAAAAGTACTCTTGTAAAAGGAACCGGGAGCGCTAGTTCTTGCTTATATTTTTTTTATATTTAATCCTGGCGTAAGTATAGAGAAGGCAATCTTAGTCATCGAAAAAAAGGTTTATATAAGTAATTTTTTCGATGATGAAATGGTAAAAGAAACGCTGGAAAGTATGTTAATTAAAGAAAAGATCACTGTTGTTAACGATAAACTTTTTTATGAAAATAAATAAAAAATAAATTTCTAAATTCATCTTTAGTCTCTTGATGCATGATTACGATCAACCTTGTATCCTTAAAGTTATGGAGAGGACAATCATAAACTTTATAGCTTTCTGCCCATCCAAAAATGTACTTTGTAAATATTGTTAACTTGAACAATGTTTTGTTGAATAAATACGTTTAAACCAAAATTGTGCTAAATTCTTTTCACAACTTGTATAAAAATCCACGATCCTAAGAAAATATTGATAGAAAATACATTAACTGAATCTCCTGACGAGTATCAATATATAACTGATATTACAAGACATTTATCCTTTCAATTCTTGATTACAAATAGAATAATCTGGAAACAAAGTGATCCTTCGGAAGCATTAATTACAACAAAATAACTGTCTGTACACGAGGGATAATGAATACGTGCAACATCCCTCACGCCCCGTAGCACCGGCTTAAGCGATACTCAATTCTCAACACTCAATAGTGCTTGCATCAATGATCTCGAAGGACCAGAAAAGTATAACAACACTGCAGTGAAGTATGAGGCAACTTTTTACAGCTGCCACACAGCATTTGACACCTGCTGTTGTGAAGTATAATAATCTGGAAACAAAGTGATACCTCGGAAGCATTAATCACAACAAAATAACAAGAGAATTGCAGACTCGGTTTGATTGAGTCTTTACATGAGGGATAATTCTTTTAAATTAGTTTATTTTCCTTTCGTACATTAACATTATTATTTATAAACATCTTTGACAGATTAATTCCCTTGGAGAGCGTTTTATTGCAAATAACCGCTTACATACGGCCACATGTAATGTCAACAATTTTACACAAAGCTACGTTACAAACATGATATATTCAATTTGTATAGTACATGTATTACTATATTTTACTGAACGAGTTGTACATAAAGTCATATTATTCGAGACTCTGGCGAACATATCATTGTTATATTCAACGTGCTATCTAATCTGCACGAATATAAAAATTTATTTTCTATTTACAATATGTCCAAAACAAGAACGATTGACAAAAAGACTTCTTTTCATTGATGCGCCTATAATTTGCGGGGTTTCCGCGCTATGTTTCTATATAATGGTAATGGCGCGATGTAAAAAAATGTTTTGTTTTTACAAGACTTATCGATTTTATTTAAATGGCTTTATTACATATCTGCGCCTTGGGTTATGTGATAAAATTGATGAACGTGGAAATCAGCATAAAATTAAAATTGCATGCTTTATTTTAGCTTATGTATATTAATAAAGATCTTTTGGAGACATTATCTGGGTCTCAGCGGGTTTAATCGGCTATTTTAAACCGTTTTGGTGTGTTGATGCGTAGGAATCGACCACGAAGACCGAAGACCTGAGTGATTACTATTTTTGCATCAAAATCGAAATTATCAATATAAATCATAGAGCCTGGTATTAACACTTTCTTGCAACAAAATTGACAAATTACAAATCGATTAACAGTGAAAACTAAGATTATAATATCTTCAAATTCACTTCAGTCACAGGCATTCCAATCTGTGTTTACTGGCGAAAAAAATGGAACGAGAAAACACGAAGCGTTAAGATTTCGAAATTGGTAAAACTTGTTTAATTTAATGATTTAGTGATCGTTTCGAAATATATATGAATAGATCTTTGTAACTGATATGCAGCATTCATTATTTTCATTATTTTATCGGAAAAAAAGTTAATGTTAATAATAATTTTATTATTACAAGTTCGTAAAATTAAAAACATTGTTTCTGTTACCTCTCAATTTCTTAATTACCTGAATTATTTAACAATTTGTTTGATATAGAGTAAGAATAAAATGAGGAAATTTGCAGAAACCTTTGTTAAAAGGTTTTGTTAAAGACAATAAGTATTACCGCAGATAAGAGAAAGTGTACTTCTTTACCTTTTTTGCCAAAATATACCATTGATATGACTAGACACTTCTTTCCTTTCTTGATTCGACATTGAGTTTCCTTTTACAAGAATTTATTCAACTTTGTATTGTCCAAATCACATTCTTCGTGAATTTATTCAACCTTTTATTTTCCAAATCAAATTCTTTGTTCACTGCATTGCCTATGACAAATATCAAATTTAAATAAGTCTTTGATTTGATGCAATTCATTTCATATTCTTTTATAATTTACAACCGTTCTACTGTGCCTTTTGGAATTAATTCTAGAATATAAATATTATTCTTGAAAAAAAATGTTGTAAATTTCAATAGGACAGCTTTTTATTTTAATGTTTTGGAAGGTTATACATGCCTGCGAAATGGGCATATTCGGGATCTCAGTGCAACGGAGATAATTTTGTATAAAAACACAATGAACGTTTATAAATTACAATTATTAAACTAAAGCTTGTCCTATATATTGAATATTATATCATAACGTAAGTTTGTTCTAAAATTTAAATTGAATATTTTCTTAATTTTTAATGTTTTGAAGGATTATATATATGCAGGCAAAATGAACATATTCTCGACGCAATGGAGATACTCTTCTTTACCTCTGTGTTTGTCTAGAATTTATTTTCAGCATACCAATCATTTCATTTTTACTTGTTATCTAATTTATTTTGCTTCGAGCAGACCTTTTATATCTTTGTCGCAACAGACAAACATTTCAGAATTTCAGACATGGCACTTCTCTGTGAATTTATGCATAAGGTTCTTCTTCTTTTTTCCACAAGAATATCCGACATATCAAACAACGAGCACATACCATATAAAATTGATCAGTGCTTCAAATATTCAACTGTAATAGGAAACATTTGTCCTGACTGATGTTGTACATTACGGTTAATACCTGTGACTATTCACATCATTCGATGGCGTCTTTGATTTAACCTATATATTCTATTTATCAAATGTTCAAAACAAGAGCATTGACGGGTCAATACCGTAACTCTAACATTAACGCGCTTTAACGCGCTATGGTTATAAGACAAATGACGCCACGTTAAAGTGCTACAAGTTAAAGCATTTCCAAAAATGCTTGGAATCGCCGTTCAGCCTTGATTATAGAAATAATATTTCTTGCCAATCACAATTATTGTGTGTTGTAAACAAAATGGCGCACTCAATTTGAAAAAATACAGGGAGATAATAAGAACGGCGAGCGCATTGTTGCAGAAAAATGCACGCTTCGGGCCTTTTTTGTTTATATAGAAAAATTTCCAATAGTGTTAGAATCATCAATAAAAAAGTTTTCCAGTAAATAATTTTAATTGAGAAAAAACAACCCAGAATTAATGAACGTTTCAACCCTCTTAACTCAAATTTGGATACGAATACTACAAAATACCGTTTTCAATCTATTTCTGATTATATTTCCTCATTACCTCTTACATGCAATCATATATCATATTGTTTTAAAGATCCTGTATGTTGTAATTCAAGTTGTGCCCGCACTTAAGTTAAATTTTATATATGTATATAATTATGCTTCTAAAACAATTTTCAAACTTTCTGAAATTCCCATAATCAATTTAAATATACTGACGGACGTAATATTATAACCAAATCCGAATATATGTCATAATAGTTTTGTTGGGAAATGTGTCTGCCTCCTACCTTTCCTACCGAAGTAAGAGCGCCGTTGATCACTTGAGGTGGTGTTGTCTTTCCTTCAGGTTTCAACAAGCAAGGAACCTAACACGCACCGATTTTATGTCCCCGAACGGAGACATGTTAAAATCGCACCGTCTGTCTGTCCGTCCGACTGTCCGTCTGTTTGTCTGTCCGTCTGTGCGCCCCCACTTCATTTGTCCGAACTATAACTTCAAACCGAGCCTGCAACATTTTCAATTTTGCCGTGTTGGGCTTTCTTTAGGGATTCTGTTTTTATCTATTTTGTAATACATTGAGGGATGTTAGCACAAATGTCTACCACATCAAGACGACGTGTCACGTCCAAGAACCACGTCCCTACCTCAAAGGTCAAGGTCACATTATAATTTCGAGGTTTCACATTATCGCAATAAGAGTAAAATGGTACACACAATCGTGTCCGGACTGTACCTTTGTCATGCATCGAATGATTTTAAAATACCTAGGCATAAATGTCTACCACATGGAGACAATATGCCGCGTCCAAGATTTACGTCCCTACCTCAAAGGTCAATGTCACACTAACATTTTGAAGTTTCAAATTATCACAATTAGAATAAATAGGTACACACAATCGTGTCCGGGCTGTAACTTTGTCATGCATCGAAGTATTTTAGACTAACTAGGCATAAATGTTTACCACATCAAGACGACATGTCGCGATTAATACCCATGTCCCTACGTTCAAGGTCATGGTAAAATAGGCAAATACAGAATCCCTAAAGAACAATTATACAAAGAACAATATTAACCCATTACTTCATATACACGCCTTTTAACGCCTTTTTCACCCCCCCCCTTTTTTGTTGTCTCAAATGGTGAAAAAATGCATTATTTAGGCCCTTAACACTTGTTTTCGTTTGAGAAATGTTGTTAAAAAAAGTGACCAGTTTTTCGGCGCGGCCCCCAACCAAAAGATACATCAGGGGGTTGCCAGAAGGGGGATGTGCCCCCTTCTGTTTGGGGGGGTTTGAAGGGGGGAGGAGTCCCCCTCATCGCCAAGAAAATTTTGGACTTGTGAGAGGCTATAAATGACCCCAGATTGATCATTAGGTAACGTGTAACCAACGCTGAAAAGCATTTGACTTTATCTCAATCCATTGAGAAGTTGCAGCACTTTGAAATCAATTATGATGGAAAAAATCAATGCAAAATAGTGATTTTTGGCAATTTTGAGATGACCCCTCGTTGCCATGGTAACAGAAAATTTAAGCCTGAGCATGTTGTTGCAAGGACAATGGTCCAGTCAACATTTGTGCCAAGTTTGATTAGTGTTGAAGCAGTTTTTATAGTATTATAGCAATTTGAACTTGTAACGGGACACTTTTCAATGAAAACAGCCATTTTTCACAAAATGCTCATGAAGCAATGGGTTAATGAAAAAAATCAAAAAATCTACAAAACAACAATTTTTCTTCAAATTTATATGACAGGCCATGTTTA